GGGTCATGGTTGTAACGGTTTAAGCAATAAAATTTCCATGCAGAAATTCCTCAAAAGCAATTTCCCACCAACAGAATTTGCAGCTGCTTTTTTTAATTTGGAAAAGTAGCTTTCACTTCTTTAATCACTTAGAAAGCAAGGTTACGAGTTCAAGAGTTTGCCAATCCACAGGTAATTGCATCTATAACTTACAAGATTGATATCTTTCRAAGCACAGGATGAATCACCACCTTGCACAAAGAAGTGATAAAGCATCTTTAAGAAAATAAAACCCAAGATCACTGAAGGAGTGGGAAATGTAGTAGTAGAAGTGACCAGGCAATCCAATGTAAAGTTTAATACAAAAAAAACCCTTATGCTCCAGATAAAATCATACTAAAACTGAACAGAAAAGTAACCACATCCTCATGGCCAAAAACGAACATGAACATTTTTGCTGTTTGGTTCTCATGGGAGTCTTCTACAAGCTAAGAGGAAATGGGACAAGTCACTACTTTATTTTTTCACTTGATTTCATTTGAATTAAAATCTGGTAAGAGCAGCTTGCAAGGCACTGGGGGTGATAGGACAGAAACTCAGCTTCAATCTCTAAATCTGATACTGCAAACATCACAGCAAAGGCTCRCCCCAGTGCCAGGCTGCAGCCTCAGCTTCCTCTGCTCCTCTTTGAGAAGTCAACACCAAAGGCAGAACATAATTTAGCAAGACCAATGGCTAAAAATATGCCCATCCTATGGTAGGTACTCAGAACTGATGCTTTCCATCTCTCACAGTTACTTAAAAAGAGTGGGGAGGGAACAGAAAATACTGAACTCTTCCATATTTATCCTCCCAACACAGGATGTACAAGCACTGCCTACATCATGTGTTACAAAAATCTAGATCTTTGAATATCTGCTGGCACATGAGGAAGAATTAAAGTAACACAGATATCTTGTTCATTAATTGAGCTCTGAATCAAATAAGACTGTTTGCAGATCACAGCTGATGCATTATTGAAACTAAAATGTCCCAGCAATGCATGCAAAATGCACAAATGCAATGCATGGTGATTGGCTTCCAGACACCAGCAAGAGTCTAAGTTGTATGAAAAAATTGTTGACAGAGAATCTACTGAYACCAATTATTCATGTTTTGTCAATAATGGTGCAGGGTAGCTTTCTTCATGAAATATATACACACACCACATGAAATTGGGGGGAAAAAAGATCTAAAGTCTGCTACAGTACATTTCATGAGTRTATCAGCCTGTGGGAGATGCTTTTCTCTGAATACATACAGTAGAAATGGTGCTTGGGTATTGTTAGGGAAGAGTGTGACTGCCAGAGAGTCTCATAAATGGCCACATCTAGAAATTTCCTTAAAAGCATGAAAGATATAGTATCATAGTGAAACAGTGTCAGGCAACACAGTTAGAAACGTACATCCTAGGGTAGAGTAATCTAAATAATGTTACGAAATAATTTGCAGAGAAAATATATAACCTTTACATTTTTACATTTATAACTGWAAGAGAGATAGAATCCTACCCACTAGTCTGGACAGTCTAAAAGGGACAAGTCAGACACAAAGATGTAGTGAGGATTCTGTCAAATGTAACAATGGAAAGAAAAGAGAGRCTGTTTCCTGTCATAGTTGGAAGGCTCAGTTGGAAGGAGGAAAGCTCAGGTAGCAAAGCAGAGGCAGCTTACCAAGCTTTTATTCAGCAGAAAAGGATAACTGTACAGGTCAGGTACGGCTCATGGCTTTCAGCATGTCTGTGCTCCACATCTGACTTTAACCCACAGCTTCTCAGTACCTCATTTCTCTCTCTCTGAAAACAATCAATCCTGCTATCTTTATTTCACAGCAGGCCTGTGAGGATAAATGTAAGGCAGAGATGGAATGGCAGCTACTCAGGCATTTRGAATACAATGAAATTGTATTTGGGTGAACAGGCAGGCGTGACTCGCCAATAGAGCAGTGCAAAGGCATGAGTCCTGAAAGCTGTCACAGGCAGATCTCCAGCACTCACACAATGAGTGGGCAGAGGAGGGTTTCAGCTGAGCTCCATATGGAATGAAGATCAAGAMCAGATGCAGCCAAAATGTGAATGGATGTAGCATCATATAACTGGGAATACATGGGCAGTTCCAGCATTACCAGCTCCCCTGCCATGTCACATGCCTAGAGATTTACAGACAAATATATTAACTGAGCCTTGAGAAAGAACATTCCAGACTCTAAACATCCCAATCTTTAGGAAGGAATAACAGAAATAGTTGCAGAGCTACAGACATAGAGATTTAGCTTGTAACAATGAAAATTTAATCACACTATTTGTACCTAAYGCAAAACATAAATCATGAAATGCCAACTTTCTCCCTATGGAGTTTCACTTAACAGGCATCTAGATACGTGTATACATTGCTGTTAATAAACTTTTTGTGGTTTTCYCTGCACCAGTATTGAAACGAGTGGAAACTATGAAGTTCAGAGCTCCAAGCGTATGGAATTTTCCAGGTCACATGTTAAACCAAGCGCGGGACAGCACTGGGCAGAGAACATTGAGAGGAAAGAAAACTCTGAATTCTAACCATATGTTCTGAAATGAAACAATATGCTCATTCTGCTACAGCTGAAAACTTTTATAACTGCCTTACAGTTAGCAGCAATAAAAATGGAAAGTGATCTTGAGGCAGCATTTACTGTCAAATGGTGAGTAATTACAGTGGAATAATGAGAATACCCAATGTATACATCTTAAGCATGATGCAATACAATATTGATTAAGTTATACTATTTCCATCATTATATTTATTAGTGTGGTTATAAAAGGATAAAAAAAACTGACAAGAATTAAAATAAGTGGGGCTTGGTTTTCCTTTTAACTGTTCCATGCTAAGACTTTCATCTTTCAGAGGATCATGAAAAATAACTTTTCCTTCTACTAGCGTAACTATGATCAGTAGCAGAGAAGTAGRATGATTGAGAGTTTAACATTTAATTGCTATTAAAGCAAAGGCTATGCACTCAGGAAAGAAAAAATCCCACACAGAAAATAGCGTTAGGCCAGTGCCCAGGGCTCACCTTGGAGAGGCAYCCACAGCTGCATTTATCAGCTCAGTCCATCACACAAAATTCACTKCACTGCCCTTTTGCTGCTGATGGACAAAACCACTGTGTTCAATTGCTTATCTGATTACAGCCATTGCCATTAAAAAGTCAAAATTTGTCCACATTAGAAATTATCATTAGTGTTTCAAGCAATTAAAGACGGTCCAGGAAATTAATTAATTGCACCAACTTGCTCTTCCTCCTACTCAAGTGTGCTCCTATTGGGGATGTGGTTTAGGTTGCATTTATGCTTGTCAAAAGCAAACAAGAACAACAACAATGAGAGAGAGAGAGAGAGAGAGAGAGATTAAAATGCTTTCAGCTCTCAAATTTGATGCTTGGTGTGGTATCTGGGGTTATTTCTGGATTTGATATTGGGATTTTTCTGTTGCCTCATTGTTTCTGTTGCTACGTTGTTTATATCACGACTATAGATATCCTGCAGTCAAATTTTGCATTGGCTTTTCCCAACAGAATSCCAGTTTAGATGGCTTTCCTTGCATGATACTAATTTATGAGATTACAATCAGCAGTATTTGGAATGTTACTTTAAATTTAATGGAAACRTGTACAAACAAAAGCCAGAATTTGTTTTCATAGAATAAAACCTGTAAGTGCCATAACAGTACAGAGTCAGGTTATGACTGCAATATTCCAAATTATCTAACAACTAGCTTTTCACTCCAGAGGTTGAAGATTTTTGTGTCTAAATTGACCACAGAATGTGTGCATTGCAGGGCCAGAAAGCYTGAACTCTTCTCTCTCTTCAGGCTCAACCTGGTTTGAAGGCAGGGAAACAACCTTAGAGCATAAACCAAACTGGCTTCAATTTTAGCATTGCAACATTACACAGGATAAACCATCGCTGGAAAGAATTTGACAGGGCCTTTGAGTTTAAAGAAATCCTTTACTATTTTAATCTCACACTCCATATTAAGAAAAAGTCTTCACACTTGTCAAGAGTGTCAGGCTTAATTGGATGCAATAGATAATTTGCTATAAGCAGACATTGCTTTTTCCAGCAACAAGGGTGATGGTTTTGGGGAAGAGAGTTCCAGAATAAAGCTGTGGTCTACAGCTACAGGCATAACCTCTGGCTGGAGCCAGAGCTAAGTGTTGAAGGCACTGGCTGGCTTTTAGGATGTGACAAATCCATGGATCACTTACATCTCCATGGTCTGTTTTAGGATGGCATTTGGTTCCTGGTCAGAAAAGTACCTTTTGCTACTACTTTCCTGAGATTTTTGTGCTAGAATTCAAGTTACCTTTGGTCTATAATAGCAAGAAAAACTCTAAAGGAATAAAAGCAAAGACCTGCCTAACCTCAGGGCTGAAAAGGTCACCTCAACCATCTGAATTAAGGGAAGATGGCTCATGACTACAGTAGCTTGCAGGACAGAAGCAAAGCCTGCAGAATACAACTTACAAATGTTTCACTTCAAAACCATTCAATGACATGGCCATTACAAGATATTCCACTGCATTTCTCAGAAAAACCTACAAWCAGGAAGCAACAACATTTAGACCTTCATTGTTCTTCTGGGCATTAAGAACAAGAACATTACTCAAGAAGAACTGGCACTTGCGCTCTGGCCTCCACTTTTCTAATTTTTGAGGACACTTATCAMGAAGGAGACAGAGCCGACGACAAGAGACAGGGTAACTGAATCTCAGGAGAGATGTCCGCAGGAAGAGTGATGGAAAAGCCAGACGGGAGATGCGACGGCAGCGAACAGGACYGTCATTTSGGTCATTTTTGCGCTCAGCAGCCCYTCCTGAGGAGCGGCCCCGAKCCGAGCGGGGCCGGGCAGCCCAAGCCGTGCAGAGCGAGGGGCAGGAGCCGCTCCTCCGCCGCGCCCCCGCTGCCTCCGCCCTCGGCGCGCCCGCCCGGCCCCGCTCCGCCCGCAGCCAATGGCACTCGGCGAGGTGGCCGCATGTGGTGGCGCGGACCCAGCGCCGGGCTGCGAGCGCAGGAGAAGGCAGCGGGCTGCTCTCCGCCGCTCCGGGCACTGCTCCTGCCAGCGGCGGCCCCAGCTGCTCCCCGGCCCCGCCGCTGCCCGCAGCATGGACTCGGACTCCGCGGAGCTCAGCGAAGGCGAGCTGGTCTCGCCCGCAGGTAAGCGGGGCTGCGCGGAGGGAGGGTCCGGGGCCGGGGCGGCTGCACCGGGGAAAGAGTCGGGTCCGTCCCCTTGCTGAGAGCTCCGGGCAGCGCTGCCAGGCTGAGGGGACAGCGGAGCGCCATTCCCGCACTCGGCGGGCACCGGCACAGCCGAGCAGCCTCCCCCGGCCCGGCCGCCCCTCCAGCGGCTCTGGGCACGGAGCCGCCGGGCTCGGGGGTGCGGCCCCGCTCCGCCGCTGCCCCGGCTGGGGGAGAGCTGCCCTCAGGGGCTGTTACAGCGCCTTCAATCGCAGCGCTGGTACAGGCTGCTGCCTTACATCCAGAGCCTGCAAAGTTTTCGGGGCTTTGGTCAGGGCTGTGCCGMTGTCGCTGCAGGAGCCCCGCGCCTGGCGCACGGACAGAAGGGACAGCGCGGCTCGGGGAGGGCACAGAGCCCCCGGGCCCATGGGCTTTTGTTTTCAAGTCTTAACTTGTCACCAAATCCCATGCTGTCTGATTGCTGCAACCCACATAGTTCTGAGATGAGACAGAAGGGGGAAAAAAAATTTTCTCTTGCCCTTTCCAAACCTTCACGTTCTTGTGTCTTACGCGAAACGAATGATGGTTGATGTGCCGTAGTCAAAGACCGTCCTGCACACGCGGTAAAAAACGGGGACAGCGAACTTGTGTGAAACACACTGAGGTAGGTTCGCTCTGCCAGCACAGCACATGGCCCAGGGATGCGCTGTCACCTCACGGCCACCCCCTGCCCGGGACACATCTCTGGTCAGCAGGGCTGTCAC